CTTGGTGGCTGAATTTGAAGTCGCACATCGACTCGAAAGTGAAACGAGAATGAAAATTGAAATGAACTTTTTCGTTTTTCTTTGGCATTGTTAGCGCGGAATTAAAGCTCGATTAATTGTTGAATGTATCGTGCTTATCAATCGAAATTCTTCATGCTGTTCTCCCGTTTTCCTTGATTTCTAATTAGCACTGGCCACGAAATTGATGCAAAAATTAATAAAAATAAAAATGAAAAAGATGAAAAAAAAAGCTTCTCTATTCTTTCTGCAGGCATCGTTATCGTGAAATTGGAACACAGTTAACTGCTAAAGATATTGCATTTATTAATTGAACATTTCACGAGCCATTTCAACTTCTGTCCGATGATGGTGTGCATCACAATTTCCTTCCAATGATTACAGGCTAAAGTGAGATAAAGCCGATGAGCCTGGAGAGTTTAACGAGTTTGCAATTAGTCTGGAGACTATCATCCAGGTATCTTGTAATTCTGGTGGGTCACGCTTTTAATCACACAACTGTAAACTCGTTATCATAAATGTAACAAATTTAACTTCTGCTGATACAATAAGCTTGCTTTATAATACATAACATTTTTCAATTATATATATTTTTAATAAAGAATAATATTACCTAATTATTCTATATATACTTTTTAAGAAATAATTATTATCTCTTATGTAATTAGAAAATTTACTTATTTTCAAATTATTACACATTGTTAAACTTGTTAAATCTTATGTTTACGTAATTAACATGTATTATTTTAATTTATACATTTTATGTACGCATTAAAATAATACATGTTAATTATATAACTATTTTATTTTAATTATGTGAACCGATATTCAAGTTTAAAAAGATATCGATATCAATTTCATCTAATTACAATCAGCTGAAGCTTATCAAAACGAAAAATACGAGTATTAAAAGTATAACGATTAAAAAGTAGATTTGAAAGTAGATTTTAAAAGACGAAATGAAAAATGACAGTGCTAAAGACAGTTCTCAGACTTTGTTTTTTCAATTACGCTTCAATCATTGAATCATTCTTTCCACGTATGGTGAATCCTAAATCGGAAAGAGGACGGATTGTTCTCTGTGTTGAAAAAGCCACGTCATATTTTATAAGAGTACCGTGCAACAGATTGCTGCGGGCAATGCGAAGCACGACAAGCATTTAGCTTTCTCCGAAATAGGTGGACACATATTGATTTTTACATAAAACTAACTCGTTATCCGATATAGTTCTCGTTGTGAAACTCACTGAGCGGCTAATAGCGCAAAATTAATTTTACCTGCGTGGGAAGGTTAAGATAATAACACATCAGGCAGCTTAGTTTATCACTGTTACTTTATGAAATTCTAAAACTCTATCGATCTATCAGTTTGCGTTTGTTATTACAAAGCACAAAGTAAACTAAGATGTAGGGAGAGCAAAAATATTTGCAAGAATGTATGATGCACTATGACACCTATAGATGTAAAAGTACTGACCCATTTATTTTTGTACGGATTGAAGTTGCAGATATCATATATGTTAATAGAGAGTTATATTACTTGGAAATATATATCATTCGTTTCCACGAGTTTCAGTCGTGACTCTGTACTTATGTTTGCGTGATGGTCAGCCATAAGATGATTAATCAGAAAAAAAAGCAATCGATGGAAACGGCAAAAGAAAACTAATTATTACAATCGCTTGTTGTATTAGCAAAAACATTGCGCATATTGTAAAAATATGATGCCTTTTTTAGAAAAAGATTAACATTATATATATACATTTTTTGTTGAAAATAATCTCGTGAAAGCATAAATTTTGTATTTTGTAAATGATAAAAAGTTTGAATTTGTTAACATTGATTCAATAGATAGATTCAATATTTGCTGCAAATTGAATTTTAATAATTGGACTACTTCGGAAAACCGTAATTAAGCATGCTATTCCACATAATTAAGGTGATAATTTGATTGTGCAATAAAAACTAATCGACATCAGCAATAAATGCCTCGAACTAATTATCACATATTGTATGAAAACGTTGATTAAACTTAAAATAATAGATTAATTAGTCATTAATGTATCTGTAATACTGAGTCACACGAATAATTGAAATATCTAATCCACATAATACAAGAAACTGAAATAAAAGGTCAAAAATAAATAAATAAAACTTCTACATTCAAAACTGAACGGAATAATCCGGAATATAACTTGAGATAAAAGTACTAGAATTCTGCCGTGATTAATTAGCAAGCGTTAACGTAATGACCCGTCACTTCGATAAATTGATGATCTGTAATCGCTAATGCAGGTCAATATTGTCGGTATACAGACTATTAATTAGACCATCAATATTTACATCGTTGATAAACGATGTCATAATAGATAATTAGGAAATTATTAAATTTACCGACCCTTCGATAGCAACTTAACTTATGGGTGAAGATGTAATATCTTACTTTTGTGTCATAATGTTATAATAATTCATCAATTTTATTCTCTAAAATTAGGAAGAAATTTTACCAAAATAATGATTGTCTCGTTACGATGAAGATATGACAATCATTATTACACTTATTATGCTATTACATTATTACATTTTGCATTAGCGCGGTCCCCGCAGAGCGGATATGCGATTTCGAAATCTATATAATTCTGCATGTTATCAAAGAAAGTTGGATGCACGTGAATCCGCAGTGCAGAACCTGCAGTAACCGTCACGTCTGTTGCAATTCCAACGTTCGTTCAACCTCGTTGTTATGCGGAAAAACGAAAAGAGAGATTGCACGAATACGCGAAAGGAAAACAAAATCGTAACGCATTTTTCGAAAACTCTCAATCTATTTTTCAGAGTGTACGAGCACTTCGAATCTCAATAATTCAGAATATTTTTGCGATACATGCAATATTTTTGCCGAAATTGCCATATCAATTTATTATCGTCTCTAGTTAATAGCATATTTAAGAAAAATACCTTTTTTTTTTCGACTAAACGAATATGCCAGAATTAAAGTTGCGGTCTGTATCAAATTGCACGTGAGGAAGCAAACCTCGAGCGGGGATTTGAGAGGGAGAGGTGGGGAGGGGGGAGGGGGTAATAGTACATGCCTCGGGGCGTGTTCTAATTACGTTGTAATTAGAACAAATAAAAAGTGCTCTCTGTAACTCTGTAACTCTTTAAAGAACACGTCCGTCATAATTAAGCGTCACAAAGCGCAGATTTTTACGAACAGATTGTGCCTATTGTATTATCGTGTATTGTGTTATCTTTCGCACCGGCACCTTTCGAATAGCCGCTGCCGCACTGAAAATAGATCTCTCGAAGGAAAAATATATTTTAGAATGTTATATATTTAGAAGAGAAAGAGATGAGAAAAAAAGATAGGCGTATATCAGTATATATATATATATATATATATATATATATATATATATATATATATATATATATCAATATAATATTGGTACGTATTGATCAGCTTTAAGCATTTTTTCAAAGATAATCTTAAGAATTTTATCAAAAATTCAATTTTTTTTCAAGAAAATCATATGCATTTATTTTTTTAAAAATAGGTTTCTTTTGTTATTAGAGTACCATAAATAAAGCATACCTTGTTCGATATCTTTCAGATATTTATCTGGAACTTTTTCAATTTTTTCACAAAAGAAATTTAATTTTTTATTAAAAATAAATGCATCAGCATTCGAAATATTCAGAAATAAATGAGCGAAAGTGTATCGATGGTTAAATCTTTAAGAATAATCTGGCAAAAAAAAACATTGTCCTTGCTGCAAAATGTATGCTGCTGATGTTAGAGGCAGAAAAGATGCGACAACATTCAGCGATCGATGTTTGACCGTGATTAAAACTTGCGCCGGCGTTGTTTAAACTTTTATGTTCGAGTTAAGAGGGAAAGAAAGCCACGGGAGGAACTGCCTCGTCCGGCGCGATAT